TTATGCAAATGTACCACAGCTTTTTTAGCCACTTATCTACTGATGGACACTTGGGCTGCTTCCAAATCATGGCTATTGTAAATAATGCGGCAGTGAGCATAGGGGCACATATATTCTTTCAAGTTAGTATTTCTTTGGGTAAACTCTCAGAAGGAGAATCACTGGGGTCATAAGACAGTTCTATTTTTAATTTCTTGAGGTAAACTCTATACTGCTTTCCACAGTGGCTGCATCAATCTGCATTCCCACCAACAGTGCACAAGAGTTCCCTTTTCTCCCTGTCCTTGTCAATACTTGTTGTTTGTTGATTTAATGATGATAGCTATTCTGATAGATGTGAGGTGATATCTCATTGTGGTTTTAATTTGAATATCTCTGATCATTAGTGACACTGAGCATTTTTTTCATATGTCTATTGGCCATCTGAATGTCCTCTTTGGAGAAGTGTCTATCCATTGCACATTTTTGTTTGGATTAGCTGTTTTTTGTTTGGTTTTATTTTTGGTGTTGAGTTATATAACTTCTTTATAAATTCTGGATATTAAGCCCTTATCAGATATATCGGTGAATTTATTCTCCCATTCAGTGGGCTCCCCTTCAGAGGGTTGTCCTTTGATTTTGTTTATGGTTTCCTTTCCTGTGCAAAACTTTTTAGTTTAATGTAGTCCATTTGTTTATTTTTATTTATTTTATTTTTTAATTTTGCCTGAAACTATATAACAGAAAAAATAACCCTGGTCAGGTAGCTCAGTTGGATAGAGTATTGTTCTGATATGCCAAGGTTGTGGGTTTGATCTCCAATCAGGGCACATACAAGAAGCAACCAATGAATGCATAAATAAGTGGCACAACAAATCCATGTCTCTCTCTCTCTCTCTCTCTCTCTCTCTCTCTCTCTCTCTCATCAACCAGTAAAACTTTTGCTATGAGAAATGTCTGAGATTTTACTGCCTGTGTTCTCTTTAGGGTTTTTATGGATTCGAGTCTAACATTTAAGTCTTTAATCTATTTTGAGTTTTTGTGTAGTAAGAAGGTGGTCTAGTTTCATTTTTTTGCATGTTATCTGTCCAATTTTCCCAGCACCATTTATTGAATAGACTGTCTTTACCCCCTTGTGTGTTTTTGCCTGCATTGTCAAATATTGACATAAAGGCATGGGTTTATTTCTGGGCTCTCTATTCTGTTCCATTGATCTATATATATATTTTTAAATTTATTCTATTTCTTGGGGTGACTGGTTAATAAAATTATCATCTGTATATTGTATTGTGTGTTTAACACCTCCAGTAAAGTCTCCTTCCACCACTATTTATCCCCTCTTCTATGTCTGTTTTTATGCCCGTACCATGCTGTTTTGATTACTATGGCCTTGTATAGTTTGATATCAGGTAGCATAATTTCTCCAACTTTGTTCTTATTTCTCAAGATTGCTGTTGCTATTCGTGATCTTTTGTGGTTCCATATAAATTTTTAAAATATTTACTCTAAATAATTCTGTGAAATATGCCATTGGTATCTTGATAGAGATTGCATTGAATCTATAGGTTATTTTGGATAGCATGAACATTTTAATGACTTCAATTTTTCTACCCATGAACTTGCCATATGCTTCTACTTTATTGTGTCTTCTTCGATATTTTCTTCAGTGTCTTATAATTTTTTGAGTGCAGGTCTTTTACGTCCTTTGTTAAATGTATAATTAAGCATTTTATTCCTTTTTGAAGCAATTCAAGGAAATTGAATAGCAAGAAATTCTGAATTAAACTCCAGTGACACTTATTTTTATTTAAAAGTTATCCTTAATAAAAATGGTTTCATTTTCAAGGGGGGATAAATGGTGATGGAGGGAGACTTGATTTGGGGTTGTAAACACAATACAGTATACAGATTATGTATTGTAGAATTGTATACCTGAAACCTGTATAATTTTATTAACCAGTGTCACTCCAATAAATTCAATTAAAAATTTCTATATTTGATCATTTGATCTGATACCTTTTCTTGTGCACAGTACCACTCTGAGGAGGTTACTGTGTCTCCAGAAATTTAATATTAAACTAGGATTAAAGACTAGTATTTAGTCACAGTTTTGCCTACCACATTAGTGTTTGAAACCTTCTCCACTTCCCTGTATTTTACTTTTCTTATCAAAAGCAAAGCATAAATATAGATACGGATAGATAGATAGCCATCATATTAATTGTCAGGAATTCTAAATTGTTTATTAGGTATTTAGTAATATGTGATATGAGAGTGGAAAGCATTACTTAGAATTTAAATTCCCCTATACACTATCAGAATAAATACTAAAACTTCTTTAGAAATATACAGTATATTGTTTTTTGCTTTTTTCCATAAGATTAGTCCGCAAGAAATTCTGAATTAAACCCCAGTGATACTCATTTTTATTTAAAAGTTACCCTTAATAAAAATGCTTTCACTATAAATTGAAATAAGCACATGATCAAATTGTAGAAGATTAAAGGGAACAAATCTTGCCTCATTGCAAAAAATTTTCTAAGTGGAAATATTTTTGTGTGTGTTTTTTTAAAATAATTTTTTTAATTTTAGAGAGGAAGGAAGAGTGAGCGATAAGAAACATCAATGATGACAGAGAATCATGGATTGGCTGCCTCCTGCATAGGGATCGCGCCTGCAATCCGGGCATGTGTCCTTGACTGGAATTGAACCCAGGATTCTTTAGTCCGCAGGCCAATGCTCTATCCACTGAGCCAAGCCAGCTAGGGCTAGAAATGTTTTTGGTTTGTCAGTCAACCATTTAGGATTTTTCTTTGCTGCATATGATTTTTCTTCTTTCCTGTATCTCCTTTACAAATACCATCCAACTAGTTATCCAAAGTACAAATCTCAGAATTGTCATTCCTCTGCCATATCTTCCATTTGCAGTTATTTATCACATGCTATGTCTTTAACATCAGAAATTATTCCTTAGCTTGATCACTTTTCTCCAGCTGTAAGCTCAGTATCTGATCTTTGGTATGAACTATTCTAGTCAGGTGATCTACCTCTTTATTATTATTATTTTTAATTTTTTATATAAGTATAGTAGGTATACAATCTTATATTTGTTATATTAATTTCAGGTTTACAATAGTGAATTGACATACTTCCTTTCTTTATTCCATCCTGTCCTCCAAACAGTGCTATCATCATTTAAAAACAAACAAACCAGCTGCCTTTCACACTAGTAGTAAACAGATTTTAATAATTCCTAGTTGTCTACTGAATAATGTCTAAATTTATTAGCCTGGCAGAGAGAACAATCTACCTTTTCTTTGTCAGTTTTTACTACTTTTATTTTGACCTACATTTTAGTCTGTGTTTAACCTGTTTCTCTGAATATGTCATGTCTTTTTTATTTACCCTCCTGAATAATTTTTCTTCCTTATCTGTCAAATTCCAGTTCCAGATGTTAAACTTACCTTGCCTGTTTCATTCAGAATCACTTACTTTTCTGCTTTATGCTTTTTGTTTGACTTTGTTCTATATATATAGTGCTTTTTAAATAATTGTATAGAAAGTTGCTATGTTCTTCCATTATAAAATGAAGTATACTTAAAAATGTTTTTATTACAAAATAGTTTATGTGCTTATTACACATTCAATAAATTTATATAAGATTCATAATTGCTTCTAATTTGGAGCTAACCACTGTTAACACCTTGGTTGTAATCTTCCTGGTTCTTTTTAGTACACGTGTATACTGGGTAATTTTGTTTGCAATATACATCTGTATATTGTAATTTTGTTGCATTGTATTGTGCAAATATTTTCTCTATGCAATTAAGATTGCAGGTCCTCATCTCTGCACTAAGGCAATTGATCACTCTCTGTTTACTTTGTCCATTCTCCCCCTTTCTCCTCCAATCTCTAATGTTACTCTTAGCTGTTACCTAGTTAATAAAGTAATTAGAGAACTTCCTGTGATTACCCAAACCACCCACCTACTAGTATATGTACCTGTGTCCTATGTACTTTGCTTTTCTACTGTCATTACATTAGTAGTATTAGTGGTAGATAAATATTGCTGTCAAAGTTCTGAGCAGGTTTGCTAATTGTGTTCATTGGCATCTCAGGTTTTACAGATGGAATCCCAAGGCAATTTGAATATGCGACTGGCTATAACTCCCTTTTCTCTATCCCAAATCTAGCCATCTTTGAATTTATCTTTTTTTATATACATATATTTTAAAGTTCTGTAAAATGTTTCACTTGAATAGCAGGATCTACTACAAGTTTTGAAAATATTTTCAAGTCTGAAATCTTCCTTGAATATTCTACTCACATCCTCGAGACATGTAGTTGGGAATACTGACTTGTGATCCACATTAGTAAATGCCATCTAATGTGACCCTTATTCCAATCAGTGTCCAAAGTCCCCTGGCTGAGGGTGTGTAATAGGAGGGGTGTACATGAAAAGTTACATGTATATTAACTATGTATATATTTTCCTGAAGAGAAGTTAGCTTTTATCAGATTCCAAAATAATGAGGTATCAAAGCTTAAATCATCTCTCTCTGTGCCTTTATTTGTCAGATACAGAAATTGTCACCAAGCAACTTGCCTATAATCATACAACCCAATGTGGTTTCCTGATTCTTTAAATTATAAACCGTTAGTCCTCATAATATGTAAAACTTTTAAAACTTATAAGAATATACATTTATAAAGATTTTAGAGAGCAACAATGTAGGAAAATATGCATTGCTTATTATGAATTTTTATTTCTAACTTTAGTTTAATGATTAATAATGGAAAGCCTTTATATTTTAAATTCTTATAGTTGTACATTTGTATAATAAATTTCTTAAGTATGGGTATTAGCAAAGTTTTTTATACACTATTTTAATTCATTTATGCATCATAATTATATAATTAAAAATTCCACTAATTGCAATTTAATGCGCTTCTAATCAGAAATTTGCATTGTGACAACTGACATATGCTAACTTACTTTTTCTACTGTGGTTTCCTTACAGGTTTAATGAACTTGTAAAAAAATTCAAAGTCGAATATCATGCTGGTGGTTCTACCCAGAATTCAATGAAAGTGGCCCAGGTTGGTTAATTCTTTTTTTAAAAAGTTATAAAGAAATAGATTCAAACTGATTCTAGACTTTTGGTCATTGCATAATTGTTCCAATCTATATTTTGTTGCTATTGAATAGTTTTGTCAGTTCTGAATTAGGATTTTAGAAGTCATTTTCCATCTAATCAACAAAAATTATTTTAATTGGTATTTTTTTGGTTATTGGTAAGCTTGCACATCTTTAATGTGTTTATTGTTTATTTACATTTTTTCTTTCTTAATTGTCAAATTCTTTGATTATTATTTTTTAAATGTTCATGTACTGGTTTGTAGAAATTCCTCATTTGATAGCTTTTTATCCTATAAATTGAAAGTATTATTTGTACTTTAACTCTTCTAGTGGCTTTTACTGTGCTGAAGTGTTTAGTTTTTTTAATATAATTAAGCTTTATGGCTTCTGCATTTCATATAGTGCTTAGAAAGGACATTTCTAACAGAAAAGGGATAATGTATTAGTTCACTCAGGCTGCCATAATAAAATACCACGGACTGGATGGCATAAAGGAGAAATTTATATTCTTATAGTTCTAGAGGTTTAAGTCCAAGATCAAAGTTCCATCAGGGTTAGTTTTTGGAGAGATCTCCTTCCTGCCTTGTAGATGGCTGCCTTCTTACTGTGTTTTTACATGACCTTTCTTCTGTGCCCACATGGAGACAGACATCTCTTGTGTTTCTTCCTCTAATGTAGACACCAGTCCTATTGGATAAGGGCCCTACCCCTGGGACCTCATTTAACTTAATTATTTCCTGAAAGGCCCTATCTCCAAAGAAGTCACTGGTTTGGGGCTTCAACATATGAATTGCAGAGTGGGGACTCAATTCTGTCCATAACTGATACCTTTTTTAAAGCCTTAGTCTATCAAAAACACATTCTAATACCTCTTCAGTTGTTTCTCTTTCTAGATCTGGGAGACTATTAGCTGCCCACTAATAAATTCTCTCCTTTCTTGAGCATTTTCATCAATCTCTACCTTTCCAAAGTTTATTGCTTACATAATTAATATCATGACCTTATTGGATTTCTGGCTGATATTGTTCTCATTAATAAAATAATCATTGTCCAACAGTTATTATTTTACAATTTTTATAATACTCCATGTGCATTGTAACAATGTACTCTAGTAATGCTTTATTTATTCCTATCTTTAGCAAGGAAATATATGGAATTCAAAGTTTTGAGTGGCTCATCCAGTATTTTTATCTTATTAGTGATATTTTTGTAGTTGGCCTAATTGCCAGACTAGCAGTCTCTCTTTGATATCATAGGGAGAGCAATTCAGTTCGGATCAGCTCAGCCAATATGTACAAGAAATGTTCTTTTTTGTTTTTCCCTTTTCTCCCTTTATTTCTTGTCATTTATTAAATTTCTACTATGTTCCAGGTAGTCTGTTAGATGTTGGTGATACAAAAGCTAATAATCTACTTGGCCCACACCGTTGAAGTGTTTATTGTAGTGAAAATGTATCTGGCGGTGGGGGTGTAGGGATGGGGAGAGAGAATTATAAACTATTAAGTATAATATAATGTTGTAGGAGCAACCCTCTCTATCCCTAGAATACAAACAAACAAATTTATAAGAACCAGAATAAAAATATATCTGTACTCACATGATATATATGTGATTTCTTCAGTTTCTGGAAACTTGAAGGCAAAACTGTGTATCTTCCTAAGTACACCTCCAGTGTGATGTTCTATTCCTAGTTGACTCACAATAATTCCCATTTTCTCAGTAGGATTTTTATCTCATGTCCTAGATTTTAGGAAGTTTTACATTTGAACTAGGAAAACAGAGATACCCTGAATAGCAGTGTTTCTCTACCCAACTTGAACCCCACTCCCCACTATAAGACTGGCTTATCAGTCTATTTCCTAAGATTTTTTTTTCAAACTTTTTGTGAAACCTTTCAGAGACTGTCATAAGGAGGCGAGGGCAATGTTAGATTTGTTCTAGATTTTTTTGCTTTAAAGGCAAGCAGTTCTCTTTTTTTTTCCTGTTTTGTATATTAGCTTTTAAAAGTTTTACTGCCCACCACATATCCATTAGGATGGTTTCTATCACATAAACATAAAATACCAAGTGTTGGCAAGGATGTAGAGAAATTGGGAACCTTTATACTGTTTGTGGGAATGTAAAAATGTGTAGCCACTATGGAAACAGTGTGGCTATTTCTCAGACAATTACAAATAGAATTACTATCTGATCCAGCGATTTCACTTCTGAGTATGTTATGGACTGAATGTTTGTGTCCACATATTGAAGCCCTAACACCCAATATGATCGTATTTGGAGATGAGGCCTTTGAGAGGTTATTATGGCTAAATGAGATCATGAGGGATCCCCTTATAAGAAGAGACACCACAAAGCTTGCTCTCTCTTTGTGTCTCTCCCTCTCCCCCTTTTCCTCCCTTCCTCTCTACCACATGAGGATAGAGTGTTCTCACTAGGGTCTGAACCAACTACACCTTGATCTTGGATTTCTCAACCTCCAGAACTGTTAGAAATAAATTTTCTATTGCTTTAAGTGATCCAGTTTATGATATTTTGTATGGCAGCCTAAGCAGACTAAGACAGGTTACATACTCAAAAGAATTAAAAGCAGCATTATTCACAATAGCCCAAAGTGTTCTTCAGTGGATGAATGAACAAAATATGTGTGTGTGTGTGTGTGTGTGTGTGTGTGTGTGTGTGTGTGTGTACGTACATATACCCATATATGTATGTATAAAGTATATAGACACAATGGAATATTATTCAGCCTTAGAAAGGAAAAAAATTCTGACATACTACAGACCTGTAAGAATCTTGAAGGCATTAATGCTAAGTGAAATAAGCTAGTCATGAAGTACTTAGAGTAGTCAAATTCATAGAGCTGGAAAGTAGAAGGGTGGTTGCCCCGGGGGGTGGCAGGAAGGGGAAATGCAGAATTACTGCCTAATGGGTAGAGTTTTAGTTTTACAAGATGAAAAGAGTTCTAGAAATGGATAGTAGTGATGATTGTAAACAGTGTGATTGTGCTTAATGCCATTGTACTCATATAGTTAAAAATGATTAAAAAGGTAAATTTTGTGTTATGTCTGTTTTAGCACAATTAAAAATAAAAAATAGATTCTAGAAATGCTTCAGCAGGGAATGATATCAACCTGATGCATTTATAGATTTCATTTGCTTATTCAGCAATCAGAGAGGCAACAGAACGAGAGTATGGGCTTGATCTTAGGATCATATAGTCCATTAGAACTGGGTTTAAGTTCAATCTTTGTCACTTTACTGGCTGATCAATTTAGTCAACTTTTTGGGGCCTTTCATATTTAAATGTGGGGTTAAAAGCTTACCTCAGATGGAAGTTGTAAGGATTAATGAGATAATGAATGTTAAAAAAAATTATAGTACTTTCAAAGGAAAGTTTGGAAACCACTAAGGTTGAAGGTCATCTCCCCTCTTCCCCATTTTTTCTGAGTTTTCTTTACTTTAACAAAACTACATTTACCCATTCATGGACAGTACAACCAGGTTTGTGGCTCTCATCCACTTAAAAATATTTACTAGTATTTCAATCTAGCCCTCAATTGAACATCTTGTTTAGCTTTTCAGTTCTTCTAATATTTTGAGAGTACTTTTCCTTTCCATCTGATTGATGAGCCAACTACATAACTGCCAAATTGTAATTTATGACTAGGATAACCACACAGTTTGAAAAATATTCTTTTAGAAGAAGAATTTCTCAGATTTTTCATTGGCAGTCATTAACAGGAAGAACTGATTCCATTGTACGTAAAGCAGATTGTGCATTGTACATTAAGCATCTGCTATGTTTTAGTCATTGTGTTAGGTAATAACTGGTAACCTAAGCTGTCTTGTCTAAATTTTGAGTAAAATCTAAAAAAAGTATTTAGAGCCTTAGAGGCAACAATCCTAAAATAGCCTTGGTTGTATCTAATGTGGTGAATGAATGAGGACATTGAAATTGGCTTAAAGCTGTCCAAAAAGTCTAGGCAAATACAATAGAAAGGAGTTGACAGGGACAGCCCACCAGGGATGGTGCTGGGTTTTGTTAATGTTAGTGTGTTTGATTGGATGTTTTGGGGTCATTGTCTTCTTTTCTTATTCATTTGAATTATCCTTCACCCCAGAAAACAACTGGATTACAGCTTTCCTCTATTACTCTAGATTATTGAAAATTTTCCAAATATTGGACAAAAATATTAGTGCAATAGAAGTATACTAGTTGAGTGTCTGTGAACTGTATATCTAAAATAGAATAAGATCCATAATAAGAATTCAGTCATCATTCAAGTATTCATATATCATTTAATTCTATAAATTTTGTTGCTATATACCATGTATAATATGTGTTTTCTGTAATATGTATTTAAAAAATATTAAATTCTTATAGAAAGATAAGAAAAACAAACAGGATGGATGAAATTCATAGATAGTAAATGCGTAGCTTATAAGAATTAGGCAAAACTCACAGGATATTATAAGTATATATAATAAATAAGCAACTAGTTTGGGAAATAGGCAAACTTGACAAGATGTGTTAAATATTAATAGCAAGTAAGTGTGTAACCTTTAAGACTGCTAAAGATAGCATAAAGAAAAACTGCTATAACAAACAGGATTATTACTCATAGATAGAACAGAATGGAAAGATCATATCATGATCATGTACCACTGGGCTGACAGTTAGTTATATCACCTTCAAATAGATCACTCATTAGTGACAGTATGTTCAAATTCTGGCCCCACATGCACTGTACCCAGGAAAGGAAATTAAAACCATGACTATTCAGCAAGCTATTTCCCAAGCTTTAACATCCTTGCTTTTGAATCTCTCCCAGAAAGCAAGTGAGTACACTTCTTTGTTCCTAAGCACTAGTTATGTGCCCCCTTTCTCATATTGTGACCCTATTTTCATAACCACACCGTCATTATCAGGAAAAGTTGATGAGGTGGAGAAGAGGCAGGA